CAACTTTATTTCTTATTCAAGCTGAAAATTGAGAGCACGAACAGTGCCCCTGCATCTGCTGTTGCCCCTCTTTAAAGTTTCGAATCCTGCAACAGCCATTTGAATGGCTTGCACTTGATAATTGATTGCGGCCTGTCTATAGAAATAAATCCCCATCGCGGGGCGTTCGCAACCCAAATAGGAAACCAGCACGCGCCACTTCTTCAGCGCTACCAATTGGTTTGGGGCAACATGTTGCTGGGATCCGTACCGTTCGGCAGGTTGGCGAGATTGGATTTTATTTTTTTCACCTCTTCTGGCTTGCAACCATTCAGCCATCGACCCTTTTTTCAGGGGCCCCGCGGGCACTTGACTTGTGCTAATTAACTGTAAGCAAAATAACGCAAAATGCGCTTTAATTGAATCGAGGAGCGAAAACTGAATAGCATTTAAACAATATTACGAATTCCAACAGCAGCAGCAGTGGCAAATGAGGCAAGAGAGTGTCTTTACTCTGTGCTCCCTTTTGGATTTTCTGCGCCACATTAAGCACACACTGCCGGGGTTGGGATAAAAGTAACCATTTGACAACATCATCGCCATGCTCCCCTTTCGAGCTGATTAAATTGCTACTTACTTCAGGCGATGAGGAGGATGATGATGACGACCGTCTTGGCTCCCTTTGTTCCCGGCCACCTCTTCAATAGCTGACGATATATATATTTTTCTGCTTCTTATATTTTCGTCTTTTTCTATTTTTTTTTTTTTTTTTTTGGGCACCAAATGTGTCTAGAGCTCTGGACCCTCCCTCTAGTTGGTTACCTTAAGTGGTAGCAGGCCTCGCCTGTACTCGAACCCTTAAGAGCGTAAAACTATTTATGGATATTTGTCGCATAAACAAGTTGACCCGAAGGGGCTGAGGTTGAGGCTGCTGCGGTGAAAGCTTTAAGAAACAATTTTCCTTAGTCATACACTCTACAAAGTAGTGGAAAAATGCCTGGATATCTAAGAATATTAGGAAATATAAGGTTTACAATAATTATTAAAAAAAAGGAAAGGTTTAATTTTATGTTTATTTAGGTATAACCCTTAACCGCTTTACTCTATAAATTCCAACTAAATATTGCAATACATTTTCTTGTAGTGAACTTCCATTTGTTGGCATAAATCCTGGCCTTATCCTTTAAGCTGCTTAAAGAGGTTACACACCAACTTATCGCATGTTTAGCAGACGCCGAAGAAGTCCGGAGGCAATGAAAAAGTTTTAGTTTCGATTTCCGTCTGGGCCCCCTGCCAGATCGCCTTCAATTTTAATGATGATGGGTTTATTGTATGATTTCTTTACGCTTTTGTTTATGCTGCTGCCGCTCATAACTTGTCATAAATTTGACAGGCCAACTCGCATGCGGGTCCATTATAAGCACATCCATCCAAATGCGGGGATCTGTCTCTCTCTCTTGACGATTCCCACATAGTTTTTTGAATTGCGAATAATAATAACGCACTAATTGCAGCGAGTTAAATAATTCCCCGGCCGTACTGCGCTTCCTTCAATTGAAGAGCCATAAAAACCGAGCCGAAAACAGAAGCCGCCGAAGTAAAAGAATATTTTTACGATGAAGCAATTGGCTATGAAATTAATTTTCCAAGGGGACAACAGAGGCTGTTAGTTGCAGTACCCCGAAGGCAGGAACTGAAATTAATGTCGCGTGCAGCCGCAAAAACCGAAAGGAAGCAGGTTCCCCTTTACCTCTATAGATTTTTGTTATTGCAGCCAACCTGTGTGGCATAAACATAGTGCTGTCATTTAAATATTACTAAGTAAAGACAGATTCCTAAATAGGTAGAAATATGACTGTAAAAATGATGGAGGATTACCTATATCATTGTATTTTTGCTCTTTTAAATTATCTAACTAATTTATAGTAGAATTTTTACAATATATTTTAAATTTTTAATGCTAAAATAATTTTTAAAATTTTATATTTATGATCTCTTAACTTTAAACATCCATATCTATCCAGAAAAAGGACACATTGGCTGCACTGCCGCTGATAGTGTCGTTTACCTGCCGCACTTCTTTGAAGTCTCAAAGTACTTTGAAGTGCCTGGCAGTCATAATCTTAATAACTGCATCTGGGTGGCGCCCATTGGCCAATTAGGATGCATTTCGGGGAAAGTACTAAACAGCAGCAGCAGCATCCAGAATTAAAGATCGCTGCTGACCACTTGAGATGAGTGAGCGATTTGGGCCAACAAACGAAAAACAAGACGTCATTTTGTGGCAGGTGTCTGTAAAAATGTTTAGACTTGCTGCCCAAAAAGCTTGGCAAGTGTTTGATTTACGCGGGCATGTTTTCTTCTACCTCCAGATGAAAATTTCTTTTCCATAAACATAAACTTTGGGAGAAGTGAAAATTTCTCTCTCTCTTTGGCAGTTGGAAAAACACACAGGAAATGGTTTACAACAGTTTTTAAAGTGAAGTTGCCACTTCAAAGGGTTTGTTTTTTCGGCGACAATTAGCCAAAAGCCCAAACGGACCTCAGTCATGCCATTGTCACATTAGATGGGGCGTTGTTTTCACGGGGCGGGTCTTTGATTTGCACAGAAATTGTTTTGACATTGCAATTTTACGCTACATTTAACATTTCCAGAAGTCACACAGCATAAAAGGGTTAATATTTTGCAGGCATAATTACTTTCAAATTAGGGGAAAGGTTCTGGGATTTTTAAGTGAAGTTTAGTAGATCAATAATTTATATTTACAACCCTTGTTAATATTGAAAAATATTAAAAAAAAACAAATTATTCAAGGTAAACCAAGTACAATTAAATTATTAGAATATATTTGATGAAAGTATTGCTTTTAATATTAGCTTTAAAAGAGAGTTGAACTTTCTTTATCAAACCAAAAATAGAACTAAAAATATTTTAAATATGAATTCCTTGAAATTTAAATCTAAATAGTTGTTTAGATAATACTTTATAAAGGTTGGATTTTATCTAATGAATTTAAATTCTTGAAAAGGTCTACAAAATATATCTGAAAAATCTTTAAATTATATATATATCTTACAATAAAAGGTTCTTAAATTAAAAAAAAAAAAATTAATAATTCTTCCAGCCAATAAACTAATGTTTTCATTAGCCACTTGAGCAAGCCCCCTGCCCACGCTTAAGCCCTAAGAAATATCCAGCATTCCAGATCTATATCTTGCTGTATTGACAGCACTTTGGCAATGAGATTACCAGATCATCATGCCCCCGCCGAATCATCGTCAATCACTTGCCTATCAGCGGCTTAAGTAGTTCATTAGAAACCATTAGAATGAAGACCCCGGGCAGAGATTATAGAAGCCATCGCCTCTCCTCCCGATGCCCAGTTCCAAGTTCCCAAAGTGCCGCAATGAAAAGGCACTTGAGCAGCGATTCCCTCACCTTCTCACTCTCTTTGGCTCCGAAAGACACGGGCCCATTGTCAAGCCAATAAAACTGGTCAGCTCCGTTTCTGCTTGATTCTTGAGCCGCGACTTTTGTGTGTGTCCCAGTCTCGAACACCGATTCCCATTCCCATTCGGACAGATACTTATCTTTTTTTTTTTGGGGACCGGGGGGCGCTTGTACTTGGGAGTGTAAGTGTAAGTAAAAGTAAATTAGATAAACGCCGGGAACGAACAATCATGCCACACAGTATATATGGTATATGTATCCCGCCTTCTTGGAGCGTTAAAATGAATCTTAATTGAACCAAAAAGAAACGAACGATCAAAGTGGGTTTGCCGCCCCTCCGATCGATGGTGGAAATATGCCTGGTCAGAGCTCAATGAAATTGACAAATGTTTGGACAAATAGACAAACCAAACGATAGATTTTCTTTCCGCTGTTGTTTTTGTAATTAGCTTGTGCAAATATTGGAGGGCCAGACAGGTAGGAGAGATATCTTGGTATCTTAATGGTTTTGGGTCAAAAGTTGTAGCTAAAAAAATGTTTTTTGCCTCATAGGGCGAGGAGTGCCTTGCCCTTTTGGGAATGTGTGTGATGTGTCTCGAGCCTGGGAGAGTAAGAGAAAAAAAAAGGTAAATAACAAACAGCTAGAGTTGAAGACAAGTGGAAAGGTGAGTTCGAGACACTGAGAGAATTAATAGGGAATTTAATTGGTACGATCATGATATCCTGAAAGACTTAATAGGCTTAAAACTACTTTAAATGAGAGTTTTAAAGATTAAACTAAGGATATTTTTATTTAAAATTTAGCTTGAAATATTTTAAAATATATTTTTATATGAAGCTAGATTTTGCGGAATTATTTTAAATATTTTTTAGGCAAGCTTTACACTAAAAACCCCTAATAAGCTACCAGTTTTATTACCCAAACCTAACTAGAAAATGCTCAAAATATAATTCAAATAATTTCCTTTAAAATATATCAACATTTTCTACTTATTTCCCCTTAGAATCGAACTTTATATTCTCCCTGTGTACCCCGGAATGGATAAACCCTAGAAAAAAGTGCCTGCAAGATTGAAATACTGACTGATGGATGGACCGAGCGAGCAAACAAGGAAAAACCTCGGCAAACCAAACCATGGTTTATCTGGGGGCAAAAAGATAAACTAAGTGCCCGGCGAGTGCGCGGTAGCTGGAACAAGTGACTGGCCCAGAGAGCGAGATACCTGCCCTCCTGCCCGCCAATTAGCCACGCAGCACGGATCACGGGGGCACGGATCACAGAGCAATTCCAGCTGACAAGTTGTCGCCATAATTAATAAAGTGTTGTGCCTCAATATATATATTGTGACGGCGATCAATTGGCAACAAATCGCCCTTCGAACAAGCTAAATGTTGCAAGCCTGTCACTGGCTGCGCACGCATTTCGGGCCTTCCCCTTCGACCACGACCGCGTTTGCCTATCAGAACGGCCACCAAAGAGGCAGCCAGCAGCAGCACCAGCAGCAGCAGCAGCAACACCATCGGCTGTGGCAGCACACGAAGTCTGACTCGCCGCCTGTCGATGATTCAGTCGAGTGCCGAACGAGCTGATGGACGCACGTGTGGCGCGGAGCAGGCGAATTCGAATTTGAGATTTTGAAAAAATATTGCCGCAAACCAAAGTTGGGAAAGTGTGAAAAACTGTTTGCATCCGGAAAGGGCTTTCAGGGAAAATAAAAAGAGAGAATATATTATATTTACTCAAAGTGTGATCCCGTCCGCGATCTGTGTTCAGTGCTTATGGCGAGTGGCCGGCCGGCCGGCCCCCGAGAAATTAACTAAATGCGTGGCGGCTTACTTTCATGTGCATCGGAAAAATCGGAAAATCCCTAAAGTTAAGCTGCCCAGATGGATGGATCGGCGGCGGTGTGAAGAGGCACTGGCGACGGCGTTGCAACACGGCAACACCACAGCCATTGCAACTGCAACATCGAAACTAGTTTCGTTACCTTTTGATACGCTCGATCGTCTCGGTGGGGCTGAAAAACAACAAAAGGAAAACTCGCCTTTTGATCTAGCGCTCTTCGATTAGTGTTCTGTGGTATTCCCAGGAAAAAAGGCGAAGGAAAACACATCTCTAAAACGCACATCGCTAAAGCAAATAAATCATCTTCGGCCACAAGAGAAAAAACGTTTGAAGTGCCAATGTGAAAATATAAAAATTTTAATAAATCCAATCCACCAACAAGCTAGAAAAACAAAAAATGTAGAGTCCCAGGATAAATAAAGGTGGAAATCAAACGAAAAGTATTAAGCAGTCCAAAATAAGTTACAACAAAAATAAACAAAACAAAACAAAATTCATGCAACTATCAAAATACATAATCTCAAGCAAATATAAAGAAGCATAGAATAGAATTTTAAACAATTTTTATACGGCAACTTAACAATTTTCTATTAACCGAAACAATTTTGACAAGCATACAAAAAGCGTATCTTTAATTTGTAACTCTAAAGTAATAAATATTGTACGAGGTAGAACCCTAGCAATTAGTAATTTATTAACTACACAAGTACTTACCACCAAGCATCCACAATATATCACGCCAAAAAGTAGACTATAGAAAACGCATTTAGAAAAATCACCAATTCAACAACAACAAAAGCAGCTTCAACAACAAATATTCAAGACAACAAATAAAATTCAGTGAAAATGCCATCGACAATGGGAGTATTTGTGCTTATGTTCCTCATTAACCTGAGTATCGGCCAGGTGCGGAACGAGGATCAGCTGCTGATGGTTGGCCAAAATGGCGACCTGGAGAGCAGCAATCCTGCCATACACCACCAGCAGCAGCACCAGCAGCATCAGCTGCACCAGAGCAGTCACAACCTGAACAATGTGAATATGAACAGCACAATACTGAACACCCTGATGGGGAGCAACGGAGCTGGTCAGGTGATGAACAGCTCTCCCGGTGGCGGATCCATGATCAATCAACTGGGCGGCAGCACATCGAGTGCTCCATCGGTCATCGGCGGTGGAGGAGTGGCTTCGGTTGGCGGTCCCTGGCATTCTGGAGTAGGAGTAGGACTTGGTGGAGTTCCTGGCAACGGAATGGGCTTATCGTCGTCCCACAATCACGGCGGAAATCTGGGCTCACATCCCCATGGACACGCACTGGCCGGCCTGGCTAACCTGGGCATCATAGTGCCCGGCGGCAAGGGATTACCTGGAAATCTGGGATACGGAGGAACCATGCTAGGAGGAGGTGTCGGAGCTGCAGGCATGGGAATGGGACTACCGTCCAGCACCAGCAACATGGATATGCAGCAGGGCCATTACAAGTGAGTCAGTCTACACATAGCTATGGTATACCCCATCTGCGAAAAACCATCTTAATTGAACTGAAATCTTATCAATTGATGGAGATCTTTCAGTCAAGCCATCAAATTGTTTTGTCCTACGAATATGCCTTCAGTCGCCGCATTTTATGGGCGCTTTTTATGTGGCTTTCTGTGGCCCCAACTCCAGTTGAGCGCAACAATCAACGTTTACAATTAATATCTGTGTCTGCAATTATTAAAACATGCCTTACAAGCTCGTGTTTAACCCACCAAGTGAACTCTGATTCGCTCGATTTTGATTTTCTCAAGCGAGCAGCATCACCCTCCATGAACTTTGATTACATAAAAATCAAGAGTAGGTCCGATGTTGGTAATTAGGTAAATTGAAGGGTCTTGCCTTGAAAAACCAGATAGGCGGAAGAGGGTTTTAATTAAGATTTAATTAGGTTCAAAATATTGCAAAATTTCTATGAAATAAGTCATTGAAATTTAGGAAGCATTTGTAGTATTTTTTACTAGTGAAATTTGGAAATTAAAACCATTTTTTTATTTAGAATTTCACTTTAGAATTGCTACTTGAAAAACCCTTAAAATGTATAAACAAATTTGCAAAAATTTAGATAAACGTATACAAAAGTCTTCTCCTTAAAGCAGCCTGCAGTCATTTACTTTATGATCTCTTATGATATCCCAGACTTTATGAAGTAGGCACTTCCTGATCTTTTGATCTGGGCAAAAGTATTGGCGAATAAATAAATAAATATCCAGCAAAATGTGCAACAGTCGACACCAAAGATGAAAACCCTTTTCGGCTGCTAATCAGCTGCAATGCAACATAAATATATAACCCAAGCAGACGCTGCGGTGGGGGTCCAGCCTGGGTTTTAAACAATAAAGTAAAATTATTTATATTGGCTTTGTTTGCGGCTGCTCCTTTTGGCTTTCAGCCTGCGTTTGCTTTATTCTGCGGCTGTCAGCCAAAAACATTCTGAATTCTGAATGGGGGTGCTGCAACCGTGGGGGTTTGTCGGTTGGTTGTCGGTTGTCAAAATGCTGCTGCTAGCCGCCTTTTTTATGATTATTAGCAGATGCGAACGGCGGCGGCGGTGGCAGAGCGTAAATTTTACTTACACTTCACCATTAATTTGCCCACTGACAGGGGAGCATACCACCAGCGACAGCAGGGACGGGGTGAAAAAAATAGCCAGGGGATGGGGGCTAACCGGCAGGGCCACCAGTTATTATTTGTCATTACAAAACCACCCAACAAAAGGGGAAAACCCCATAATATCCTTGCCAGAGTAGGGATGAGATTTTACACTGGGGAACTGGCTTAGAATTTAGTTTAAGAATTATTTTCTGAAGCTTTGTATAAAGGTTTCAATTTTAAAATATTTTAAAAATGTGGAAAGAATAATTTCAATTTGAGAGCACATTTCACTGTCTTTTTTGTGAATTGTACACTTTTTTACTAAAAATCTAATTGGAAAACCCATAAATATAATTTTACTGACAAACTCGTAATACTTTTAGGTAACATTAAAAAATCATATGAAGTTATTTACTTTACCTGAAACATTTTATAGTTTACAAACAGTTTATTTACAAGCTTCTTTATAAATTTAGTATTTCCAAAAGTTCCATCTCATTTTCCTTAAGTGTACATTTGAGACCTCCTTCGCAATTGGCAATTCTTTTTATTAAACAAAACTCCAGAGCTCCGGCTCCACTTTGGAGCCCTCTTCGCCGGGGTAGAAAGTGTTTCACTTATTTTGCCTTCGCCGGTCTTTGTATTTATTTCCTTGCCAGGCACATGCACTAAGTGACCCAACTGACTAGACGACAGAAATCGATAGACAGGGGATCCCATCCGGAGGCCATCCCGGTCTCCAGTTCCTCCTTCTGGTTCCGGGAGTGGGAATGGGAGTAGGAATACCCAGCCGGTGTCCATTTGGACGCGCTGCTTGATTACAATTAATCGGCTTATTTGAGCAAGACATCGTTTGCTGTTTGCCATTAAACTGGATTGGATGGTAATGCGTGTGTGTGTGGTGTGTATGGTGTGTCTTCCCAATTACCCCGCTTTCCCCTTTGGAAGATATCTGCATGCAGGTGCCTAGCCGGAGTGCGACTTTATTGATTCGAAATGTCAGCACGAATCACACAAAAGTCAAGTCAAAACACTCAAAGTTGCACAAGACCAACAAAGCTATTTGCCAAGTATTAATTTGCAAGTCAAGAAATTGTTGGTAGATTGCATTTGCGTTTGGTTTAATGAACTTAGCATTTGGTAATGCAAATTATGTTGGAAAATTATCGAACAAATCTCTTAACCGATTTAATTATTATATAAATTAATTTCCTAAACCCATTCAAAAGCCTCTTCAACACCTGCCTAGACCATTCTGCTAATATGGCAATTCGCATCCACTAACCCTTTACAAAAGTCCTCAACCCGTAGCGACTCTCAGCTCAATTTGCCCGATGTGAAGGCCGAAAGGGAACACACAATCAATATACAAAATAATACAAAACGCTGATTAGGGGATGTAATGAAAATTTAATAATTGCCGTCAGGGGGCACTCGATGATGAAGTTCCCTCCGCCGACTCAAAGAGGCAAACGGCTGGCGCAATTAATCTCCCATGTCAGGGTTGATCCGGCGATGAGAGAGTAATGCAAGAACCAGAAATCCCCGAATGAGGAAGCCACGGGGTTGGTTTCAATTTCAGCATTTTGACATAGCCCCGAAAGCAAAAGGCAAATAATGTAATAATGTTTGACAGTCTGCCCGTCTCCGTTCTGCGTTGTTTTGTTTAACAGACATTTATGACATTATACGGCGCAGAATTATGTTGTTACAACAACCCCACCGAATCTGAATTCGAGTCTGAAAAGGGAATCCGGGAACCCAGACTGTCTTTGTCCTTCTGTGATTTCCATTTGCCTGGCAAGCGGCAAAAATCTGGTTAATTGTGCGTAAGACAAAGTCTCTTCCCCCTGTCATCCTCCCGTTGTTGCTCCCTTTGGCAACTCCCAAAGTTAAATATTTGTCAAGGAGTAATTAAAACTTACTTACCGTTTCCTTGGATGCCCCTCAACCTCCTCGGGCTTTCATGTCTCCTTACTTCATTGGACAACTTCATGTTAACAACTGCGAGTGCAAGTTTCCATTGTTGCGGATGGATGGAAAACTTTCCGGCTATATCATCGCTGCTTTGTGGCAAGGAGTTGAGAGCAGAAAGAGCTTCCCCTGGCGGAAGCATAAAAATGTTAATTTCCAAGACACAAGAAAAAGCCTTTGTTTTTGGCCGCAAATTATGGTCAAGTCCTGGTGGGGCTTCCCCTCACAACACTGACGATGATGATGACGATAACGATAACGATTATGGCCAAAGTTTTGTTTTTTATTCTCGCCGCAAAATTAAAAATATCCAGGGAAAATCTGCGACGACTACTGCAGTTGGCATGGCCATGTGGCACCACCCGAAATTTATTTGTCTCAATACGACGACAATGGAGGGGTCTGGAGCTTGAGAGATTTGGTAATGGTTGGAGATTGGAGGTCGTAGATTTTGGGGATAAGGGCCAGCAGCCGGGATATTTCTGGATTTTGGACTTGAGTTTTGCTAAATGAAATTGAGGGCATAAACTTCTCACTGTACAGCGCCAATAAGTGTCAAAGATATTAAAATTTCAGGATTATATTGAGAAACTATATAAGTTATAGCCAAAATATTATTAAATAAGCAAGTAAGCGAGGGTTATACATGTATTTTATGTATAATAATAATTAATCTATTTCTTAACTTCAAGTCATTATGAAATAGAAATGTTTTTTAGCCCAAAAAAAATAAATTTTTGTTATTACTTAGACATTTTATTGTTGCCGCATGCCGAATGCATTCCTTGAGGCTATATTTCATTGGTAGAAATTTTTATACCAAAAATTCCATTGTCTGATGAGGCCATATATCAGCAAGTTCGATAGAGAATTCCTTAGGCGAATAATTTTTCATTGATTAACCCTATAAATAACTCCACAAATGACTGGGAAATATTTTCTGAATGAAAATAGATCGCATTTCGTTCTGCCAATTCTTCTTTACTATCAGTTAAAGTATTTCCAGTTCGTTGTTTATGATTTCAAATATTTCCCTTGGAGTTTTCTTTAGTAATTTTACTGCTCACAATTTGCCTGCCATTTGCCATTTGAACTTTTTAATTTTGTCGTTTTTGATGGCTGCGTTTTATGAGGCCGTTGTCTCTCAACTTGGACTTCTCGACATCTTTTTTATTCCAACTCCAACTCCTGATGGCATTTCCGTTGCTGTGGTTTTTTGTCTCTTAATGATAAACTGGGGTTCAGTTTGGATTTTCTTCTTGTCGTTTTTTGCTGTGAATAAGTTTTCCCCCATTTTGGGTAAATTTCATTATTCCGAATGTCCTTTTGTTGAGATGAAAAGCGGGCAAAAGGAAAAGCTAAAGCTGAGCCATAAAAGTTTAAACAAAAAGCAGCTGCCAGACGAGGAGGGCGAGCACAAAAGCGGAGATCGACTCATAAATTGGCCAGGATGGAAACTGAAACTGAAACTCAAGCTGTAACCTGGAACCTGGAACCCAATAAAAGTCCCAATGATGAACAGACCCGAAAAGAAACTGCATTTTCGAGGGTTGCAACTGCTGCAACAATAGGAGAGGCCGACGTTCCCATGACATAAAAACGCATTTTCATGTAATCATCGAAAAGTGCGTAAAGAAAATCATCCAAATGACTTAAACAAATCAGGCAGCTCGAAGAGATGCTGAATACAAAAAGCAATTCAAGCGTGAAGCCTAAAATCAAACAACAAAACACATTTTTAAAGGTGTAAAAAGTAAGACAAACTGCCGAAGAGCAGATGCAGATACAGATACAAATGTAGAACACTGGGAGAAAATATTGCAAGGAGTTTTACAAAAAGATTTAGCTAAAGAAAATATTAAGTGAAAGTAAGAAA